GCACGCGGGAGCGTGCGGGAGCGCGCAGGAGAGCATGGGAGCGTGTAGGAGCATGCAGGAAAGCGTGGGAGCATGTGGGAGCATGCAGGATAGCGCGGGAGCATGCAGGAGAGTGCAGGAACATGCTGGAGTGTGCAGGAGAGCATGGGAGTATGCGGGAGCAAGAGGGAGTGCACAGGAGCATGCAGGAGCACGCGGGCACACATGGCAGCACGTGGGCGCGTGTGAGCCAGCTGGCAGGGTGGCAGCAGAGCCTACCGGAGAGGCTGAACCCCGACTGGTGCAGGTTGCGCACAGGCACCGCCGGGATTTTGCTGGCGCAGGGAATGATGCGCGCGGCTGGCGCCGGCGCCGCAGCCTTGGCCGCCACCACCACGTCGTGCACCGGCCCGTCGTAGAGCCCTCGAGGGACGCCGTGGACCTCGGCCAGCTACAGGGCAAAGCAGTGGGCTCGTGTAAGAAGCACTGGGTTTCAAACTACAAATCGCACCACCTTCCCCTCTGCATCATGCACACCATCTTCCGCAGGGAAGACACCTCTGTTTGTTTGAGAGAGCCAGAGCAGGAGGTCAGCACCACAACAGATGTTTCCAGCACAAATGGGCACTAGATCCCTCCTTCCTGCTGCAACCAAAATGAGCAGACCCAGGTTGGGGTGCATTTTTGCTTTGCAATAGGTATACAATACCAATAACACGAGATTCTGGCCAACACAATCTGCCTATGCAAAGAAACAGGTCCCTTATTTAAACATGAATATACCTTTTTCTGATTATTCAAGATAATTAGGTATGTGAAGGGCAGATACCCCCCAATCTCCAACACCAGCAACAGCACTAGTGGTAACGGCATTACCGGGGTTTCGGTCCCAGTCGGCTGCAGCGTCATGCTGCCCAACAGTGGCTGCAAGAAAGTGCTGCAAATGGCATGCAAAAAAAAAAAAAAAAAAAAAAAGTGAAGTTCGCCTTACCCGATTTCTTGCCTTTATCCTCTTATAGACAAAGTCTGGGAAGGTTTTTCTGGGAATGAAGCGTCCGGAGCCTGGGGTGACGGAGAGGATCCCGTCCTCCAGCACAACCCGGCCCTGGCTTATGACGACGCTGGGCGCCCCGTGGCACTCGAGTCCCTCGAAGATGTTGTACTCCACGTTCTGGGAAAGGCAGGTACCGAATGAGGGCAAGACCCAGGGTAGAAGCTGCAGCTCCAGCCCCGCACATCCCTGCAGGCTGCTGCCCTTGCACCAATATGTCCCTTAACGTGCCCTTTATTTTTGAAATAATGAAGCTATAATTGGATGAAATACAGCAAACTGGAGTGGAATTAGGTACTGAAAGCATTTGGTACTTCTCCAAAAGACACACGGCATGCCTGAAGCACGCTGGGTTTTTGCCATGACCAATTTGTTATCTCAAAACCCCAGTTTGCTTTGCTTAAATGCTCCGTTTGGTGAAAGAAGCTATTGAATTTTGGGGGGATATTTCAATTCTTCTAACAAAATAAAGATGGAAATAGGAATAGGAATACAGGGAATGCAAAGTCACACAATTTTTTCAACTCTCTCCATTACCATTGCAAAAAAACTTTTCCAAACAAACAAACAAACAAGCAAACAAAAAAAAAAAAAACCACAAAAAAATCCCTAACTTTTCAAAAGCAAACTTTGCATTGAAACAACACTGTGTTCCCAAAGAGAAAAATGCATTTTGTGGACCAAAGAAACAACCTGTGTCCATTTCTAACAAAAAGCAATTGACTATTTCAAACACCACAGTAACTTTCTTCAATTGAAAACAGCTTGGTAAAAGAAAACACGGTTTTTGGAAAGCACTTCTGCCTTGACTTAACCAAGCTCCTGCATTACTGCCAGCACCTGGAGCCCACCTGGGCTCTCGGCCAGCTGTGTTGTGGCTCCTGGTGGGACACCTGCAAGGCTTGACATACCATGGAAAGACACCCGAACCTCTCTACACACAGGTAGCTGGGACCCCGCAAGGGCTGGTGAAGGAGACACCATGGACCTGCTCTGCATCCATCTCCACCAGCCTCTGACTGCAAAATCTACTCATAAAGGAACAATTGTAGAGACGCTTTACCGAGTTGTGGGTTTTTGCTGAGATAATCTTTGTAGCCTTGGGGTTCCACAAAACCAGGTCGGCATCTGACCCGACGGCAACGCGCCCCTTCCTGGGGTAGCAGTTGAAGATCTTGGCTGCGTTCGTGCTGGTCACGGCCACAAAGTCGTTCTCGTCCATCTTGCCTGAGACCTGGAGGGAGGGCAGAGCACGGCCAGGCGGTGGGAGCGGGCCCCGGGGGGCCCCCCCCCCGCTCCTGCCGCCCGTCCGGAGCACCAGCGGGACCGGCCTGCGGAGCTCGGCTGCTGCACGGGGCAGGAACAGGGCTCCAGGACCAGAGCGGGATCAAAGGGAATGAGAACGAGATGTGTGTGCAGTCGCGGGGGGAAGCAAGGTTGGAGGGGGGGGCTGCACCTTGTCCCAGTGGGCTAATAACCCAATAGAGACTTAGCTCCCCTGGCCCATGAACGGTAATGTCTAGGAAAGCAAGATTCCATCAGTAGGCTCCAGTTCCCCATGCAGAAGTCCTCACCTTCAGCACAACGTGGTTGAGGATAGGGAGACAGGGAAAGCCAAAGTGGTCCAGACAACACCACAGAGATGTGAGATGATGCCGGCACCTCACCTGAGCCAAGGGGGCCCTCAACAGCACCCACCACGGTGCCGGCGCCCCAGCGCGGTACCTACCACGCACTTCTCCCAGACGATGGCCATGCGCTCCTCGACGCCGTTGGTGCCCTCTGGGATGAGGGTGAAGTTGTCTTTGCCCACTGCCTTCTGCGCGGTGGTGAAGGCACAGTGAGCACTGCCCGTCACCTGCAGATCCCCACTGCGGCCAGAGGATAAGAAAGTGGCTTCAGCATCAGATTTAGCCAACACCATCAAAAAAAGCAGCCTCCTTTCCCGCTGCTCCTCATGGATGAGGTTGCCTGCCGAGAGGACACGAGTGCTCTGCAAGCTTCGCACTCGCTCTGTCCTACGGGCAGGGAACCTATCGAGACAGGCGCACGGCTCCAGCCACCTCAAGCCCGGCCACCGCTCTGGGGCCGCCACCATGGACTCTACCCAAATCCACCCTCGGTGCCAACCTACCAGGCCAGGAGCGTGGAGAGATGGTCGGGCGTCGTGGGGTCGGGGCTGACGGGCGGCGAGGTGACGAAGGCCGCGGCCTTGGCCCAGTTCTTGCTCCAGTAGTGGGAGCCATCGGTGCCCAGGCTGGCGGCGATGGGCTCCCCGTACACGACTGCACCTGCAGCATCGGGAGAGCCCTGAGTGAGCAGCCAGGCTGCCCCCAGCACGGGCAGCCCTGCGGGCTGTGCCCGTCCTCAGCGCTCCCGGGCTTCCCGCTCCCAGCCCTGCTCGCAGGGTCCCCGGAGCAGCTCACGCACCAGGACCGTGTCCAGTCGGATCGGGCCTCCCAAGGATGGGGGCTCCACATCCTCCCTGGACAACCCGCTCCAGGGTCCAACCTCGCTCACAGCCAGGAAGGTTTCCTACCTTCTCCTGCACCTCAGCATGTGCCCCCTGCCCACGGGCTTCACCTCCCTGCTCACCCCACGGAGCTCAGCCAGATTGAACCTTCAGCCCGTCCTACACGTGCAGCCTCCCAGCTCTTAATGGTCTTTGTGGCTCTAATTTGTGTGGAAAACACAAACTTGTGCGAAAAACACAAGCTCTCGGCCTGGCACTCCTTGGCACGCCCGGGGGTGCCAGCCGCGTTCCGCGCCGGCGGGCGAGAGCCGTTTTCTCTCACCCTTCCTCTTGGCGCGCGCCAGCACGTCGGCCGCAGCCTTGCTCATGATCTTCGTGACGTAGAGGGGGCAGTTGGCCTGTCGCGCGATGGTCACGGCGCGGTACACGGCCTCCGCCTCCACCTGTGCCGCGCAGCGGACAAGCGCCGGCCTCAGGGCGCTGCTCGGCGCCGAGGGGACGAGAGCAG